AGAGAAGGATCCATGTGATGCCTGTGCTCTGCCCACGTCACAGCTCGCTGGAGGTTAACCATGAGCAAAACCGTGACCTTTCAGAGGATGATTAGTTACCCCCTCCCAAGGCATGTGGCACCACCAGCATTTTTCACCTGCTTAATTTCCCCTTTTCCATTTGCAAGAGGCGGAGAACTGCAACTCCTCCTTCCCCCTTTGCTGCCTCTTTACTTTTTCGTTTTGAAAACTTGATTGGAAACGTTACAGAGCAATTTGCAGCGGCTGAACAGCGTGTCACATGTGCGACTGCCCGTGTAAACCACACGGCAAAAACAGCAGGAAAAACAGAAATAAGGGTGCAAACCCTGCCTGCCGGGCAGCTGAGAGGGCCACGGAGATTTTCAGCTTAGAACAGCCAAAACTGTTCAGGAAAATGAGGCAATTTTTGCAAAAAAGCCTCCAGAACTGCCCGTGAGGATGTGACACCCTCTGAACTTGGGTCCCACACCAAGCATGGGCAGCAGCCCGGGAATGCCATCCCTGCTCCTCTCTGAAATTATGGCTGAACAGGCAAATACATATATATATATTCATATATGAAGGGTATAAAATGTGTTTTCTCACCCACTAAGGCATTAAGAAGCTGGAGCTGGTGAGTGTGGAGCCAACAGGAGCTGGGTGAGCAGTGTCAGTGAGCTGAGCCATCTCTGGAGCACAGACCCCGATCCCAGATCTCAGCTCCCAGATCCCAGATCCTAGATCTCATATCCCAGATCTCAGATCCCAGCTCCCAGATCTCAGATCCCAGCTCCCAGATCCTAGAGCTCAGATCCTAGATCCTAGATCTCAGATTCCAGATCCCAGATCTCTGATTTCAGATCCCAGATCCTAGATCCCAGATCTCAGCTCCCAGATCCTAGATCTCATATCCCAGATCTCAGATCCAGGATCCCAGATCTCAGCTCCCAGATCCTAGATCTCATATCCCAGATCTCAGATCCCAGATCTCTGATTTCAGATCCCAGATCCTAGATCCCAGATCTCAGATCCCATCTCCCAGATCTCAGATCCCAGCTCCCAGATCCTAGAGCTCAGATCCTAGATCCTAGATCTCAGATTCCAGATCCCAGATCTCTGTTTTCAGATCCCAGATCCCAGATCTCAGATTCCAGATCCCAGATCTCTGATTTCAGATCCAGATCTCATATTCCAGATCCTTGATCTCTGATCTCAGATCCCTGATCTCAGATCTGAGATCTCACATCCCAGATCCTGGATCTCAGATCCCAGCTCCCATATCCTAGATCCCAGATCTCATATCCCAGCTCCCAGATCTGCCTTTGGGCTGGGGGTTCCCTCACGGAGGCCCAGTGGCTTCGGAAGGAATCTGCCGTCCCCACAGCACACCCTCACCTCCAGGGGAAGCACCAGCCTCTGCTGGGGATCAGGATGTGCACTCAGCAGGAGGATCCCAGTTTTTGGGGGATATTCCTGACAAAACGCCATTTTCTGGTGGCAGGTGACCATGTGGTATCTCTGATCGCACCGAGGATTTAATCAGCATTAATTAATTTGCAGTTTGATAACCAAGACGCCTTGGCAAGAGCAAGCAGAGCTTTGGAGATTACAAGATCGGATCAAGGCTGGCGACAGGAAAGAAGATTGAACTAAGTAGAAATGCAAAGCTTGTCTGTGTGATGTTTAACCAAATGAACATCGTAAAAAATCACTGCCTTCCTAAATGGTGTGTAAGCACGTGTAGCTCACAGTAAATTCGGATTCTGATCACAAATCAGTAGCCCCCGTCTCTTGTCAGTAGCCCGTATGAGCGTGCAGAGGTGGCCAGGGGCTTCTCACAGCTGTTTCAGCTGGGAAAGGACATTCAGGAGCCTCCAGCGCTTGGAGCCTCCCGGCTCCAGGTTTTCAGCCGCGGGTAGTCCATCGGAGGCGGGCTGGCAGGAAGGCTCCGAGGCGCTCCTGGCACATGCTCGCCTCGGGGCTCTCAAGGTCTCCCTGCAGCTGCGCCGGAGCCCCGCAGGGACAAAGGGACAAGGCCAGCTCTCCCGCCGCAGCCCGGCCCCGTCCTGCTCCCAAACACCCCCGACCCTCAGGGACCACCCAGCTGCTCAGAGCAGGAAAGTGAAATGAAATGAAATTTTAAAAAACTAGAAATTAAAAAATATTAAAAAAACTAAACTAAATTAAACTTTAAAAATAAAATAAAATAATTAAAAATGAAATTAAATGAGATGAAATAAAATATCTAAAAAATGAAATAAAATACAATATTAAAAAATGAAATTAAATAAAATTTAAAAATAAAAAAGAAAATAAAATTAAATAAAAATAAAATAAAAAAGAAAAGAAATTAAATGAAATAAATTTAAAAAATAAAAAAATTAAATGAAATAAAAATACAATATTAAAAAATGAAATGAAATAAAATATTTTAAAGATGAAATAAAATACAATATTTAAAATGAAATTAAATAAAATTTAAAAATAAAATTAAATAAAATAAAAATTAAAATAAAATATGAAATTAAATGAAAAATTAAAAATAAAGCTAAAATAAAAATAAAATAAAATAAAATTTTAAAATGAAATTAAATGAAATGGAATGAAATAAATTCTAAAAATAAAATAAAAAAATAAAATTTAAACAAAATAAAAAATTAAAATAAATCAGAAAAAAATAAGACTAACTGTGGATGCGCTCCCGTTGTGTCCTTCATGCCAGAAGGACGGCTCTTGCTGGAGCCCTTAATCACCAGAGCTGCTCCATTAACCCGGCCGTGGGTTCACAGCCCGGTGCTGCTCCCCGCGCTGCCCAGCAGGAGTTACGGGGAATAACGAAACACGGGGTGAAACACTGACGGCTGAGCAATCCCCACTCTGAGGGTGGGCGGGAAGCGCCGCGCCCCGGGGCAGCGATCTGGGGGCAGCCAGCAGCCAAAACGAAGGCACAGGAGCATCTTTCCGGCACGGAGGAGGGATGCAGGCAGGGCAGGGATGCCCTCCGCAGAGCATCTGCCAGCAGCCACCGAGCCGCCTGGCAAGCGCCGCCTGCTCCTCCAGCCGGGAAGCAAAAATAATTACAGCCTCTTTTCAACCCGGCAATTATCTAATGCTGGCTTCTGCACGCAAGGAGCGAGCAGAGAGAGCTGCTCGTGCTGGCAGGGAGCGGGGCGGGCACCCCAGGGGCGGCTTTGTCCCCGAAACGGGGCGGAAAAAACAGATAGGGAACAGGGGGTGGGTAAATCCCGAGGGTCTGCAAGGAAAGAGCATCCCGCGCAGGAAGGCGGAGAGGGCAGGGAATGGGAACCACCGGGAGCTGCTGGAGGCTCTGAGAGCCACGGCAAGGCTCGAGGGCAACCTGGGGGCAAGCTGGGGGCCGCAGCAGCGCTGGGGCTTCTCCACTTGTGGGGAGACACCTGAGCCTGCCAAGAGATCTGCTCAGTGCCGGAGATCTCAGTCTGTGCACGGGTCTCTCAGAGGGGAAAATAAAACAAAAAAAAAGGAGCCAAAGCCTCCCGCTGGCAGAGGGAGCTCTGTGAAGCAGCGCTGGGATCCACGTGCTTGGACACGGTTGGATTTCAGACCCATCTCTGCGCCTCACCTGGCCCCAGCACCCAGGGCCACCAGGCTGCCCTGGCACTCCGGGCTCGTGGGGCTGGCGCTGGGTGGTCCCCGAGGTCCCTTCC